AACCGTGATCGTTGTTAAAATCTTCCAGGTTGAATGTGGGGCTACTTTGTCTTCCTGACTGACTCATTGGAGATCTGTCTGCCTGCACCTGAACACTTTTATCATCAGGTGTGTCGGACCTCTCTCTCTCTCACCTCGCTGCTTTTTTTAAAAAACACAATCGGCTATGTGTGGTTGTGTCATTGGAACACAGTAACAGTGAACCCGTCAGGCAGAAAGAGACTGAGTCAATGGGGAAGAAATCTGACTGTTTCCAACCACAGTACCTGGAGCAGCCGCTACCTGGAGCAGCAGCTACCTCTGCTGACAGAAGGAACCAGATCAGCCTGATGATCATCGTTCACTTGAACCACGACCACTTCAGCTCAAAACAAACAAACAAACAAAATCGTACTCGTTTCAATCAGGCTCCCGGTTCTTGGGTGCAGAAATATATATATACACATTTTGTCTTTAACAAATTAAAAAGAATACCGTTTCCTGTACAACCATAAATATTTATTTCATATCAAGTCTGCGGTTCAGGTTTACGACTCATATTCTTGAACACACGTCTCACCTTGTGTCTGCTGGTAGAGACGCTCAGGAATACGTGTTTACAGCTGAACTGATCGAGTTTAAACTACTTTATGTACAAACTGAAACATGCAGACGGTATTTCATTGATATTTATACTAGAGACAATGAATGTTGGCCAGCCAGTGGGATCCTTACTTTGATCCAGACTGAAACACCTCATCAGCTATCAGCTAAATTACAATGAAGCTCTGAATATGCTACTGCTGGACCTACAGGAGTCATGCTACTGACTCTGGTGAGCTTGTAAATGTCCTCTCCTTTGTCCTTCTGTGCGTTACTGTTTTCACTTTGCTTACAGGACACAACGACACCCGACATCCAGGTGGCGACTTGTCCCGCTGAGAATCTTTAAGTTTTACAAGAGCATGTGCAGAAAAACAGCCCTGCTGGCTCGTTTTTCTTTAATGTGGATGATGCATTTTAGTCACAGAGCTCATGTCCCAACCATCACTGCTCTGAGGAAACACCAAAGCTGCATCCTCGGCGTAGCTCCACTCTGACTGGAGCCCAAAGCGTCTTTTCCCCCTGAAGCAGAACGACAGCGAGGTGCAGCCAGATCATTACATCCTACAGAATAAGCTTGCTAAGCAGGACTAAACAACACGAGACAGTTACGTGTGACGTGTGGCTCGTCTGCATCATCTGTCCACAGTTCTGTTATTTTAACAACCCCGTCGATGGAGCAGAGCCGTGCTCATGGCAGCTTGTTGCACTTATTCAGTTACAGTTCAATTCACAACACGGCATCAGATGTTTTATATTTAGCACACAAACGTGCAGCGAAGTATAAACGAGGCACGACACACAAAAGAGTAGCGCACAAATTAGGACAGACATGTATCATGATTGGGCTGCAAGGTGGCGCAGTGGTTAGCACTGTTGCCTCGCAGCAAGAAGGTCGCCGGTTCGCGTCCCGGTGAGGACACCCGGGATCTTTCTGCGTGGAGTCTCCATGTTCTCCCCGTGCAGCGTGGGTTCTCTCCGGGTTCTCCGGCTTNTCTGAGTCAACTTCTAAACCAATCAGCTGTTAGATCCCACATTTCCCATCATGCCCCGAGGCCTGAGCGGCTGCGGCGTCTGGCTCCGATTTCACAACGTCTGGGCAAGTCGGGATCGAGTTATTTGTCACGTGCTCACGTTGTACGGGGAGTGAAGTGCAACAACAAGACGTGATGAAAAACATCCCCTAAAAATAGATCAAGCTCAGAGTAATAAGGAGTGAGCAGATTGTGAGTTATCTTGTGCGAGCCTAGTCGTCACCACTCGGTGGTTTCGAGCGATGACCTCCCTCCCACAGTATCTGCCGGGTAGCAGCAGGTCACGGCTTATCGACGCCGGAGGATAAATGGTGAAAAAAAGTTCTATTTTTACAAAAACATGTCTGGAAAAGATCAATAAATACAGTCGTTTCAACACAGTTTTGCGTTGGACATGGGTTATTCTACATTCTTACAGGAGGATTTTGATTTTTTATTTAAAATATATTGGTTTCAAACATCGGTCTCCTTCATTACTGATAATTAAAAAATGGTATCGGCCCTGAAAAAAAGACATCAGTCGGCTTCTCCTGGGCTGTTTAAAGAAAACTAAACCAAAAAAAAACATTTAAAAGCTACTCGCTGTTGGCCTCAGTGGTGCAGCAACAAGCCGACCTACACAACTAGTTTATAGAGAATAACTCGCATAACAGTCAAACCATAAAGACTGACAGAAGGTCAAAGTGTGACCGGAGCTGCTGATAAGTAAAACTAAACTTTAACATCACAGGATAAATGGTGAGAAGAAGTCTTTTAATCAAACATATGTAACAACACAAATACACAAAATGCATTTCAGTAAACTTTTGTGATGTTCTGAATGTTCACACCAGGACTTTTAAATGTGTCTCCTCCTAATCTGGTTTATGAGTCTCCTTCAAGACTAACAGTAAGTATCGTCATTGGTCCTGAAATAAAAGATATCAATCGACTTTAATTGTGCTTTTTTAATAGTTCATTTCGGCCCAAACAACAACCAGGTAGCTGTCTCTCCTAATCAAAGATCAACTTTAAAAGCTGCTCGCTGCTGCCCTCAGCGGTGCAGTTCAGCTGCACCACACTGACTTCAAAAGTTAGTTTTTGGGAAAACAACACACATCTTCAATTAAATTATGAAGCCGAACTAAAAGTCAACACATAAAGGCTCCTAGAAGGTCAAAAGTCTGACTGTGGCCGCTGCCGGAGCCTGCCGACGAGCGATGCCAAAAATAAAACAGCACTTTTTTGAACCGGGTTCGGCTCAACGGGTCTGCGAGTGCTCGCAAGCGTCGTTCGGGGGGCTGCTTCTGACCGAGGCCTGGTTGCGCAACGTCTCTGGCACAAAAGCGACACGACAGCAATCTTGAAGTCGACATTTAAACGGTGTCACGGTGCGTATTTGGCCATTTTTAGCAGCACGCAAGCCGACGGCAGCAGCGACAGCCCCGAAAAAAGCAGCGCCGTCGGTCCGGCAGCAGCGCAGCGGTGGAGCTAAGTTCAAGCTCCGCGGAGCCGAAGTGGTTTCTGTGGCTGCCGGAGCGAGTTTACTGTCTGGAGCTCCGCAGTCTGCAGCTAACGTAAGGATTCGTGTCGTATTTAGTCACTGATACGGTTTATTGAAGGACTGCAGCACTCACCGTCCCCGGAACCCCCCGAGCCTTCAGTTTGTTGTTGTTGTTCTTCGGTTGGTGACAGATGAAGCCCCGCCCACTTTAACGGACGTTACGTAGTTTAAATGTCTCGTGGTG